TCAACGATCACAGTTATTGGATAGGGAGCAAAATGGTAGTCACAGACTATGCTTTCCGCCTCACCCATACGCCGAAAGACGTGGGTCATACGCCACACAAGGACAAACTTACAACAGATCCCCTAAAGAAAATCAAGGGGAATATGAATCTGTCTATGACCAAAATGCATACGGCAACCAGCGGACAGGTGTGCCATACAACTTATCAATCCCCGTTACTTCTTATGAACAGGGTTTTTTCGGACAGCCTACGGCTGCAACGCCACCAGTAATGCAGGTGATTCGGATGCTGTCGGATCATCTGCTCTCTACCCTGACCAACAGTCTCTATACCAATCACAATGTAGTGAATACCTCGCTCCTTCCGAGGTAAACAGTACCGAATCGTCACCCTGTACAAAAGGTCATGACATCGCTAGCACGATGTACGCAAAGGACGCCCAAGAAACGTACCAAAGTGCTGACTTTCTCCGAGATATATCTAAACACTTTTGTACTATTAACTCGCTCTCGTTTTGCCTGATTAACGCCCGCTCTATACGCAACAAAATGAAAGAGATTATGCTGCTATCTCTGATAAGTGGTCCGTCCGTGATAATGGTTACAGAAACTTGGTGTACCAATGATATTTGCGACGCAGAGATCTCCATTGACAACTATTCCTTGTTCAGGAAGGATAGACTGCATGGTAGGGGAGGAGGGTGCATTATCTATGTAAAGTCTGACATCACTGCTACGCAGTGCCCTACATCTGAGCTAAACGAGATTGACGACTCAGTATGGATTATCGCAAAACTTACTCGCTCCACTTCCCTCCTAATAGGATGCATTTACCGGCCCCCTTCCTCCTCAGTCGAATACGACGACAAGCTAACAAGCGTGTTCGCCCGTGTGGCAACACTACCACACACAGCGAAAATTATATGTGGTGACTTTAACATGCCAGATATAAAGTGGCGACCAATTAGCTATCCAGAGCGCTTTGATAAATTCATAAGCATTCTTGAAACAGAGGGTTGGCAACAACATGTGGAACACCCTACCAGGTACAATAGTGTCCTGGACCTAGTCTTCACAAACGGAACCACACCCACAAAACTCCAAGTGGGTACACAACTTCCAGGTAGCGATCACAAGGTTGTATATGGATACTTCAATATAACCAGCACAAAAGTGGCCCAAAAGTCAGGAACAGTACTAACTAGAAATTACAAGTATGCCAAATGGGACGAACTACAATCGTTTCTGCGCTGCCTAGATTGGAGCCCCTACTTTACCAACAGTTCAGCCAAAGAACTCTGTGATCTATTCTATGAATATATAGGCACAGCTCAAGACTATGTTGCTCCACCGCTCCGAAGAGAAATTAAGAAAAACAGAGCTGACTATATACCAAAGAAAGTACGCATCCGCATGCGAAACCATGTCAGAGAGTACTATAAGTCGAATGACTTTTCGTCGCTTGTCACACTCAAAGACACATACGACACATTCAAGGCAGAAAGAGTAATAGAAGCCGTTAAACAAGAACGCATCCAATGTAGTAAAACTAGTAATACAGAAGCACTAGTGAGACTGATGAAAACCCGGATAAGTAGCTCCAGAAATAGTACCCCTAGTTTAATCATGGACAACGGCATCCTCTACGATAACCCACTACAAATCAGCGAGCTGTTCGGTTACCAGTTTGCTAGCTGCTTTACACAAGAGGACGAAATAAAAGTCATTGGTGCACCGTCAACACCAACTCACTCCATAAGTACAGTGCTCTTCTCTAAACAAAACATTTCTCTAGCTATAGCATCACTTCGAACCTCATACAGTGCGGGGCCTGATGGAATTCCAACCATCTTGTTAAAAAGAGGTGGCGAAGATATACCGCTGATTCTCTTGAAGCTCTTTAATACGTCCCTCTCCAGTGGCAATTACCCTGAGAACTGGAAACTATCATACATATGTCCTAAGCATAAATGTGGACCAACATCTAATATAGAAAACTACCGACCTATAAACATCACGTCAGTAGTATCCAGGACTATGGAAAAGGTGATTGTGAAAGCAGTTGTCGACTATATGACGACTAACCAATTACTCTCACCAGCACAACATGGATTCTTGAAAGGCCGGTCATGCACTACAAGCTATCTTGACTATCTAGACAACGTTACAAGCAAGCGTGACCAAGGCCTATTTGTAACTACCCTTTTCTTAGACTTCAAGCAAGCATTCGATAAGGTGCCTCACAAACGCCTGGTCACTAAGTTGCAATCATATGGTTTCCGAGACCCGTTACTGTCCTGGCTCAGAACATCTTTAGAGGGTCGCTTCCAAGTAGTAAAATTCAGTAATTGCTACTCCACCCCTAGACTTATACAAAGTGGTGTCGTCCAGGGTAGTGTGCTAGGACCGATACTTTTCCTAATCTATGTAAACGATATCTGCAGTGTTATCCGAAATGGCATACCCTACCTTTTCGCTGACGACTTGAAGATAGTCTACAGCTTTTCTCCTGCAGCACTAACACAGGGTTTCTCTCAAATACAAGAAGATCTGAAGAGGATATTCATATGGAGCGAGACCTGGCAGCTCCCTCTAAACCCAAATAAAAGTGGCATCCTCCATTTCAATAAATCCCACCCAGAAGTAACGCTACACTTGGGTGATATTGCACTGCAGGTATACAACACTGTGAAAGACCTCGGAATCACTTACTCCAGAAGTTTGACTTTTACGGAGTATGCAGACTCAGTAGTTTCCAAGGGCAGAAGACTCATCGGTCTTCTACACAGAAACATACTCATACCTGAGGCAAAACTTATACTGTACAAGGCTATGGTTCGCCCAATATTAGAGTACTGCACCGTTATCTATGGTAGCATGAATGTGTCGGACAGAATTCGAGTAGAGAACATTCAACGGAACTTTACTCGGCGCCTACTAATACATAACGAAGGACTTCCTTACGAAGCAAGATGCAAAAAACTAGGACTAGAATCACTCTGGCTGAGACGCCTGAAGCTCAACTTAACACTTCTTTTTCGTCTTTTATTTACAAACCCTAAAACGAAATGTGCTGTCACTTTTAAAACAACACAGGCATATAATCTGCGTAATAGCGAGAACATCATCCCAATAAATAAGTATCGCTCAAAACTTCGATGTAGGTTTTTCATAACGCAATACAGTATGCTGTGGAACAAACTTCCCGCTCCTATACGAGCATGCCGTTCGCTCGGCCAGTTTCAACGACTACTTAGTAAATTCCTCCTATCTAACGAATCTCATCAATTCGTTGACGGCCAAACCACAAACGGTAATGCCATGCACTAAGGTACTACTGGTACCTAGACTCAAGGGAGACTAACAGCAATGACATAAGTATACAATGCCGAAAACTAAACGCAATAGTTAAGTTAAAATCTAATTTCTTAGAAAAAAAATGACCAAGAGTGAACAGGAAGCGGAGTGCGACACGATATGCTACAGTGAACTTATTAGATACTCAAATGTAACCTACTTTTCTTCACAACCTAACCGATCTCACGACTTAACACCTATTTCCTAAAAATCGCCCCTTAAAGTAATCTCTCTACTCCGAAAAGATAAAAGAACTGTCTGTCGGTGCATTTTCATAGCATGCAACTCTTTATTATTTGCCCTTTGTCATCAGTACTTACATCTAAGTACTCTGCACCAACATAGTTTCGGTAGACCCGATATGGTAATGCTCAACAGGCAACACCATGATCATCCCCTCGTGACCAGATAAAGGGTGGTGGTCCTAAGAACAAAAAAAACCACGAATTTCACCTAAATGTTTATAACTTCATCATACGCTTGTACATAGGTATATAACAAGTTAATACCTGGTCAAATATCCTCTAATCTTTCTATTTCGTAGTGATATCTTCAGCTTCAGACTGACTTTCATTACTGTCGTGCGCACCTTCATCTTCTTCCACCTAAGCTTACCTCTAAACAGTTGGTTCTGGACACTTCCTCAAGTAAGTTTAATAGTCAGTACAAACTCACCCAGATGTATCATGGTCGATCTACTCCTGCGTATTTTTGTGCTCCTGTTACAAATTTCGCCTGCTGCTCGCTTTTGTTATTCACTTTTCAGATTTACTTAACCAGTCCTGCATTCAAATGGAATCCTACAAATCGCATTCGTCAGTGGGAAATATTGGCATCAAAACCTGATGACGAACGCGCACACCTCAAGGTCATGACCGTGATGCGGCCTCACCTTCAAGAATATTGGATGATTCAAACGATGACCGGATAATCTTCAAATTCGAACTGAGCCTGCTTCAACATGCCTCCTATATGCCATAAATCACAGCATCTAATGTATAGCATAACATTGTACATAATAGTCATCTCTCATTACCAAAGTGATCAAACCTGTAAAATGGTTTGTATTCATGTAACCTTTGTTGTATGGAATATATTACTTCCCGTGTGTACTTCCCGATTGACCTGCATTTCTGCCCCACTCTTTGCCGCCAAACTCGATTCACTAACTTCTATATACCACCAGTTTTTTATACCTTTTCCTAATCTATAAAAAAATTTCTTTCACCCTTACCTCTGCTTTTCGACCGGCCTTCTCTACCTCCTTTGGTTTATTTGGCTTTTCTCGGATCCTTTTATGTATTTTTATAATCAGTTCGAACATATGACCGACGATATTTATAGGTCTCAATTAATCTACCGTCTAAGCCACTTAATCCCCTTTAGGCACAGACTTGAACAACACAAAATCATCTATCAGTGTACATGAGGTAAAGATTTTGGCCGGTTGAATTTACTGCACTGTAATCCCCTGTAAACAATGTCATTCTGCGAAACCCGGGAGCAAGCACAAAGAAGACAGTTAGCCATTTTAAAGTCATAAACGGGATATTTTGATTTTGAAAAATTTCTTATATAGTATTAGAATCTACAGATAAGCCCAATAATTTCTAACAACTCAATCTGTTCAGTAACACTAAACATGCCGCGCAGTTTTAACCTCAAGGTTACCAGCAAGATCTTTCGAGACCATTTGGCAGCTTTGAGTTATATTCCGAACAGTGCGGTGAGTTTCATACAGGCGGATGACAATTTTCTGTCCACCTTTGATTCTGATATTCAAAATGGATATCTGATGTAAAATGCTTCATTGTTAATTATTTACCACACAGTTCAAACTTATGCCTCTCTGTTGGACTGTTTGTCACTCCACTAACCGTACCATCGTTCATATCATTTCAATTCCTGTTTCAAAGTTTCTTGCTGAATTTTTTCTGCTTTTTAACTTCTACACTACCAACTGTTGAAGCGTGAACATTTGAGTCCTTGTATACATATATATTTATGTTCGTATTGGGACAGTGGTATAGACTGTTTTCTTCTCTCCTTCCTAAACTCACCTGAATTTACCTTTTGTCTTAAATTTACCTCCTCTTTGTTTTCCTTCTTTGCTTCCTGAAACTCCGCACCTGCACTACAACTAGTGCAGACAGTTGTCTGTTAGTTGGACGTTACCTCCCTAAAAAATTAACTGAACATCTATCAGCTTTACCAGAGCAACAGTAGGCGAATGGTTAGATCTGCTGCATTGAATTTCACGAAAGACCCATTATTCTGCAAGACCTTGTTTAGAGTACACAGAAATTAGCTTGATTACGCGACGTAAGCTAGGCATTGGATCCCACATCTATAGGAGTTTAATCACAGTTAGTGTAAATCAAACATTTCTTCTTAGAATTTATGCTATATCTGGGTTATACAGCTTAAGTTACTTGGTTCGCTTGTGGTAATTCAGTAAAGCGGTCTGGCGTATTTCGTGAGGTTCTCCAATCGTCTTAAATCTTTAAGAACAGGGATAGTAGGCCAGTGGTATGTATTAACCTTTGCTAGTAATAGTACTGTGCAGATCCAATCTGAATCTGGAAGTATAATTTAAACGGAGTTCTTGGGGTTCACAGCTCTGTGCGAGAAAGGAGTTTCCAGAGACGATATTACCGTGGTCCATGACCTTCCTGATGGTGTTCTGTGAAGTGCACAGTTCTGGTAGGAAGAATTAAGCAAGATTACCTAGAACGCAAGTCATTAACAATGATAAGATACGTCAAAATCCGATCACCCCTCATTCTATGATGAGTGGAAAACGACCTAATTGACCCATCTCTTCCTCGTAGGAGAGGTTGAAGACCCCTCTGACCATTTTCGCTCCTACCTTCTGGACCTGATCTAATATGTGAGATTGCTGCTTGAATCGCGTAGTCTAGATGGAGTTTTACGTCTACCAGGTATAGTATCGGAAACATTTTCTCATCAAAGCTGTGAAAGGCTTTTTATAAGAACCGTAAGATACGAAAGTTTTTGGCAGGTGGCACTTTAAAAACGACTGATGATTCAAGGTTATGCCTTACTTTAATACCCAATTTCTTGCATTCATTTTCTTTGGACAGCAGCACGTTAATAATCAATTTGTCATGTAGATCATCGTGACCTTTTGGCATGACTACTCTCGTGGTAGTTTTGATTTATAATTCGTTTCGTGGACCTTAGGATATACGTCATTCTGTAAGAGTATCCCATCCTCATCACTTTGAATAGGTCTCTAAAGTTGACTGTCTGCAGACATGAGTACGGGGAGTCGTCATCCTATAAAACTTGTTCAATTAGAGTAAAAAGAGAAGTGGACTTAAGGTAGTGCTTTGAGGCAGTTCACTCTTAACTAGTTCCCACTTTTACAAATCTCCGTTTACCTTTGTTCTCTGCGTTTTGTTGCACGAAAAATCTTTGATGCATTCCTAACAAAGTAATCGATCCTAAAGCTTTCCACCTTTTGAAAGCCAGGTTATAAAGCCGGTCAAAAGCTTTGCTGAATTAAGTGAACATTGCACTCACCCCTCTGAAAGCGGTCTAATCCTCTCCTGCAATGATGAGATTTGTTAGGCAAGAGTGACCAACCTCAAACCCATGCTGCCTCGTAGCTAAACACTTGTTCCCCTCGACATGCAGTTGGATGGATGATCTTTTCGAAAAGGTTAAACACTAGGCAAGTCAGACTAGCTTAACAATAAATACCCTCTAGATGTCTATGGTCACTTTTTCAGACCACTAGTGATGATATTCTTTTAATCTCTAGGTGGTTTTAATCAAATCAGTGAGATATTAAGCAACCAAAATGGCGGTCCGTTGATTGATATGCACTAGTGGTACGGGAATGCAGCTGATCTAAATTGTAGCACTTGCTTGGGTTGAGGTTGTGGATTAGTCTTAGGACCACCTCAATAAGTAATGATTCTGTTCATGAAACATTGCGAGAACTGAATACAACTGAATAATACTTGCATATTAGATTTGTTTATTTGATATATAGCGCACAGTGATACAGTATTATTTACTTGATTACGTTTCGAGCATAAATTATTGCTCACAATCATATCAATGATCATGAGCAATAATTTATGCTCGAAACGTAATCAAGTAAATAATACTGTATCACTGTGCGCTATATATCAAATAAACAAATCTAATATGGAATTACATTCTACCACAGTGCCCAAGTTGTACACTTATATGAATAATACTTGGTTGAAGTACTACGACAATGCTTCAGTCTTAGCCGTTTGATGACCAGCTACTTGGCATGGGATCTTTATGCAGCATCAAGGCTAGGATGCCTTCGCTAATCTCAAGTCTAACTTGAGAGTATAATCTTAGGTGTACTACGTGGCGCCGTGGAATGAAGGATACGTGTATCGGGTTAGCATCTGTTGGTGCATCACGACTTTCTAGATGGGGTCCGAGAGATCAGGCAACTGAGTGGCTTGAGACGTTATCAGATATGGCTCGGAATCAAAACCAATGGTGGTCATACTGTAGCTTCCTCCTACCTTCTACTGCTGAAAAGTAATGGATTTTTCGTTTTCAATGTATCACATCAGACTGCCCTTCTAATCATTCTGTTCTTATTGTATTTTATTTTTATCTGCTTCAGTTCTCTTTATGTTTTCATAATGTTGTTATATTATTTTGTGTGATTCATTTCTTGATGTCATTGCTATACCACACTGTTCTAATAATAATAATAATAATAATAATAATAATAATAATAATAATAATAATAATAATAATAATAAATAACCTTCCATTGTGTGGTCATCCAGAAAGTTTCAACTATTCTCACAGCTGTTAGCTGTATTTCGTGGTATCACCACATGAGTAACGCAGAAGTCATGTGCAGAGTTTTAAGGAGAAGAGGTAAGTCAGTTGACATGGTTGTGGACCTTCATCAACTGAGATGTTTGGCATGTGTTACATATGCCTAGTCGCCGTCTACCTCACCACAATGTTGACCGAAGTAGGTTCAGACTGGAAAAAGGCTCATGGCTCTCGACCAGACTAAAACGTGAGATCAATGTATGCAGTGTTTGACTGTTGGTTTAAGCCATGTGGGTCGATGCAGACTAGCCGTTTGAGGTCTGGGGGACAAGAGAAACAAACCAGTGGTTGGGGACTCTAGGTGATCATATGGTTGAGAACGGATGTCATTGGTGTAGATGTATACACACATTATCCTCATCTTAACGACGCTATACCGAATATCACCATTTTCTCATTCTACCTTTCTCTCATTGATTACTTTATATTTCTTTTGACTGAATTTTGTTTTCTTCATCTTCGACTTCACTGCCTTTTTACTTGATGTGGTGAAATGAGGTGTAGCAAGTTGGACTGTTACTCAGTAACGCCTGTTGACAGATGATGGTGTTGATGTTAGCACTCAAGTTCCCTCATATGATTACCAACCTTCTGTCTATGTGTCTCCTAAGTCTTCACGTTTCTCGGTTAACATTCCTACTTTATCTTTAATTCCTTCTAGCTTTGCAGCTCTTAATAGTAATGTGTTCACGGAACAGCATTCATATTCTTCTGAAACCGTTATCTAAGCTACATATTGAAGTTTTCAATGTTCGCATATCCCGTCAAATCGATCAACAAGCTTTGCTAGCCAAAACTCTGGCATCTGAGGCCATTGATCTGTGCTCTGTTTGTAAAACGCTGTTACAGGACCTAATTGCAAGAATACTAGGAAATGCACTATACAAAATAACAATGTCGTGAAGACATAAACTGATGAAAGTGGATAAGTAAAGAAGAAAAACAATAAGAATAGCATGATTTGAAGGGCAGTCCAGTAAGATATATTCAAAACAAAACAATTGTTACTTCTCAGAAGCAGAAGTACAGGGAATCTGCAGCATGACTTCCATCAGTTTCCATTTTGAGCCATACCTGATGACGTCTCAAGCCACTAAGTTGCATGATCTGTTGGACCCCGCCTAGGGAGTCATGAAACACCAACAGATGCTAACAAGATACAGCTGTCCTTCATCCCACTGCGTCAAGTCATATACTGACTACACCTTTGCTTCTTCCATCCAGTTCCAGGGTTAGCAAATAATCAACGGTATAGAAGCTATTGGGATGACATGCGTTACCCATGTCCAAGCCATCGAAGTTGGTGTTTCCAGATGACAGTCTTCATCATGCTCAAGTATGTTTGATTCACGGGTAGTTTTATTGGATTAGCAACTAGTGTTGGTGCATAATAGCTCCTTGGAAACTATTACTCAACGGCTTAGTTTGTTACCAGATATGGCTGTAAACAGAAATCAACGGAAGTCATACTGACTGACACCTTATCTTTTGTATTATTGAAAATGTTTGGGATGCTATATCACAAAGACTGCTTTGTAAATGTGTCATCTTATGACTGACTGTATAATAGTGATCTCATACTACTCCATACCGTTGATATATGCCTCAATCAGTACTGAGTTATATAGAAAATACTAATTGACGATTATGATTAACATTGTGTGTCATTGAATAACAGACTTCATAATTCAACATCTATGATCTAATTCTTCTAATAAATTATTCTCTTATTTCTATGCAGTGAATTGATGAAAAATCTTATCTATCGTATGCATAGTCCAACATGGTAGTGATAAAAGAACGCATAAAATTACTTCCAGAAGTAGGTTTCATTTCAACTTTCTAAATGAAAAAATTTATTCAGCATTTTTTAGATAAAGTAAAACGAAATCGTAATTTTGCTTTTAAAATTGTTGAAAAATTAGTAAAACGACCACTTATATTCAAACAATTTGCTAAAGAATTCTCTAGCACAGCAAAAAACCATATTACTCTAATGAAATCTGCTAGTACTGACTATTCTTTATACTTGAATTCAATTAAAGATGTTGAAGTGATTATCTTTTCATTGAATGTAATGTTGAAACATGCTGGAGCATATCATCTTTTGATTGAAAAGGAAATATTTACATCATTGAAAGAATTGAATAGTTTGCTTAGTAGTATTTCACCTCCGTTTAATGATACCATCCTGAGAGAACTCTCAGGTCAATACAAAAATCAAGGTATGTAATGCTTTAATTCATGATATTCTCCTTTTTTTTTAGTTAGTGTACTCAAAAGATGAAGTATGTCTGAACAGTATGTGTGATGTATTTAGGCAATCCAATATATTTCGAACAATCTCATCACCCATTCACTTATTATTATTACTATTATTATTATTATTATTATTATTATTATTATTATTACTATTTGTCCCTTGGGTTCCTAATGAAACATAGGGCTTCAGTAGCACGTCTCCAGTGCACTCTGTTCTCTGCAAACTTTTGAACCTCGCTCCACGACAGCCCACAAGCTCTCATTCCTTCCTCACACCATGTCACCCTCACTTCAGACGGACAACTCGTCGCTTCCCATCTGGGTTCCACACGAGTACCTGGCCTGACGCGTGATGTCCCCAATCGGCCTTCTCAGTGTATGCCCAATCCAATCCATCTTCACTTCCTTCTGCATATTTGTTGAGTGATACGTTCTTGCTTCGTTGGTTCGTTGCTAGAGTTCCTTGTTGCTTATTCTTACTATTCTCGCCATCTGATATTCAGTAACGAACGTAGGCAGTTGTTGATGAATGTCTGTAGTTTGTTGGAAATGCTTTTCGTAACGCGCCAAGTCTCTGAACCATCACATAGCAGCACTGACTTCACTGAATTGATGTTGAAAATCCTGATCTTCTTCTTTGTGCTGAGTGCAGTAGATCTTCACACTGATTCCAGATTAATGAAAGCTTGTCTTGCTTTTACAATCCTCGTCTTGACATCCTCATCTGCGCCGCCTGTAGTTGAAACGACACTGCCTAGGTAGATGAAAGAGACTACTTCCTTTAGGTTTCTCCCATTAATGGTGATTCATACTTGTTGTTGATGCTGTTGTTGGTTGGGTATCTTCATCACCTCTGTCTTTTCTATATTCACCTGAAGTCCCGTCTTCGCTGCCCTGCCTCTTCTGCCAATTTGTTAGTTTTGGCCTGTAAATCATCAAGTTTGTGTGACATCAGACACAAGTCATTGGCGAAATCCAGATCTTCTAGGTTCTTTTCCGCAGTCCAGCCAGCGTATCCCCCTCTTCTCGCTCCCCACTGTTTGCTGCATGATCCAGTCCACCACAATCAGTAAGATCATGGGTGATAGTTGACAGCCTTGTTTCACTCCTGTCTTCACTTCAAAAGCACCACTGAGCTTCCCATTGTGAATTACTTGGCATGTGGCGTCTTCATATAGTTGTTGAATGAGATTGATACAGGTGTGCGCTACCCCGTAGTGTTGAAGCAACTGCCTGCCAAATTACTTCTCGGTCGACGCTGTCAAAGGCCTTCTCAGAGTCTATGAAGTTGAGGTGAGGTGTAGAGTTGACTGCCATTCTATACTCTGTTTTATGATGATGTGAAGCGTTGCAATTTGGTCGGCACATGATTTGTACTTCCTGAAGCCAGCCTGCCTGTTCCGGTCGTAGTTTTGAATCGAGTGCATCCTTTAGTCTCTCCATGATGATGTGGCTTAATATTTTGCTTGCTTTGGGTGGACAGGAGCGTGATTCCTTGCCAGTTCTTGCAAACACTTAGGTCACCCTTCTTCGGCAGTTTGACAAGGTAACCCTTCTTCTAATCAGTTGGCAGGTACCTTCCTTTCCTTCCAGACCTTCTGCAGTAGTGATGTGAGCATGTCGGCTGTTGTCTCTGCGTCTCAGTGCTTCTGGCGGGATTCCATCTGATCCTGCTGCTTTCCCACATTTCAGCAGCTTTGTGGCGCTCAGGACTTCGACTTTTGTTGGAGGATTTATGTTCACTTGTAGTTCTGTGACTGGGCTGCAGGTGGTATTTTTGGATGAAGTGCAGGTGATGGTGGTGGTCGATTCAAGAGCTTTTTGAAGTGGTCGGCCCATTGTTTCCTTTGTTTCTCTTCTTTGGAAATTGAATTTCCTTCATCATCTTTTATTAGTTTCATATATGTTGGTCTCTTCTCTCCCGGATAGTAACCTGGTTATTTGATACAATGTTGTCAGATTTCTCCTACCTGCAGCCTGTTCTGCTTCACTTTCAAGTGTGTCTTAGAAGTGTTTTTTGTCTTTCCGGACACTCTTCCTCACTTCTTTGTCTAGTGTTTTATACATTGTACTCAGTTCCTCTTATCGTTGTGCATCCTTGCACTGGTTTGTCTTCTGTTTCACCATCCTCCTCTCCCTGCCCTGTTAGCTTCCATGTATCCATTGAGATTCATTCCTTATCTTCTTTCTTCTTGCTTCCTAATATGGCTGTGCAGGTTTCTTTCCACATCTCTTTCAAAGACTTCTAGTGTTGTTCCACACAGGTTTCTTCAGGGATGTTGCTCGATATCTCCCATTTTGTCTTGATGACTGGCTGTCGTGAAGATCTCCCTTGTAGTTTCATCCTTCAGTTTCCGAGTGTTGTACTTGAACTGTGGTCTATCATCAGCTTCCTTGAAGGCTTTCAACTTGATTTGGAAGGCAGGCTCCTCGCACTAGATAGTGGTGTGAACCTACATTTGCTCCTCTTCTTGACCTTGTATCAAGTAGACTGCGTCTCCATTTTCTTGAGATTGAGATAAAGTTGATCTAATTTTTAGTGTGTCCTGGTGTCTGATGAAATCCATGTCGCTTTGTGAATATCCTTGTGCTTGAACACAGTGCCTGAATCCAATCACCAAATCGTTGAATGCACAGAATTCTGCCAACAATTCTCCATTCTTGTTCATCACCTCACCGAGCGCTTCTCGACCCGTGGTTAGTTCTCTTCCTGTGTTGTCTGCTCCCAGTTTGGCATTGATGTTGCCCATTAGAATTTTGATGTCGCCGACTGGAGTCTTGTCTAGTACTCGTTGCAGCTGTCTATAGAATTCCTCCTTTTTCTCTTCATCTGCATTATTTGTAGGTGCATAGTGTAGCATTGTATGATTGTGACCTTCCTTCCTTTTGAGTTGAACCTTGCCGTCATGATGCTGGAGGAGATTGGTTCCCACTGCATGAGACCCTTCGATGCTGTTGGGGACGTCATGATAGCCACTTCTCCCATGTGCTTGTGGTTATCGTCTGGGTGACCGGAGTAGATTATTGATTGTCCAGTTGACAGTTTGGAGAGTCCACTCCCATTCCATCGGCTTTCGCAAACTCCTAACACTTCAATGCGATGCCTTCTCACCTCGTTTGCAATCTGGGCAACCTTGTCAGCTAGGTTCAAACATGGTGTGGACATTCCATGTCCCCACGTTTACTTTCACTTTCATCGAGAGATGAGAAGATACATAGGCCAATTGGCTTCTCGAAGGCTTTCACCAACCGGCGTCATTTCATCTCTCCGATTCCAGCCAGGAATAATATTGTTTTTTATTTTTTATATTTCGTTTGTGCTTTTAAGTTTGTTTAGTGGTTGGATTGGTTTTACGGGTTAGGGTTGCTAGCCCTACGGCCAATCTTCCTTCTTTACCCGGGCTTAGGACCGGCTAGTAACTAGTGAACTAGTTAACCAGGTGAGGTTACACATTCACTTATCAAGTCAATTTATGTTGAACCAAAGGGTGGGAGGATAAAAATATTCATGTATCTGTTCATCAGAGACGATAGATGAACATATCAAGGTAGAGAAGACGGAGGTGATGAAGATACCCAACCAACAACAGCATCAACAACAAGTATGAATCACCATTAACGGGAGAAATCTAAAGGAAGTAGTCTCTTTCATCTACCTAGGCAGTGTCGTTTCAACTACAGGCGGCGCAGATGAGGATGTCAAGACGAGGATTGTAAAAGCAAGACAAGCTTTCATTAATCTGGAATCAGTGTGAAGATCTACTGCACTCAGCACAAAGAAGAAGATCAGGATTTTCAACATCAATTCAGTGAAGTCAGTGCTGCTATGTGATGGTTCAGAGACTTGGCGCGTTACGAAAAGCATTTCCAACAAACTACAGACATTCATCAACAACTGCCTACGTTCGTTACTGAATATCAGATGGCGAGAATAGTAAGAATAAGCAACAAGGATCTCTAGCAACGAACCAACGAAGCAAGAACGTATCACTCAACAAATATGCAGAAGGAAGTGAAGATGGATTGGATTGGGCATACACTGAGAAGGCCGATTGGGGACATCACGCGTCAGGCCAGGTACTCGTGTGGAACCCAGATGGGAAGCGACGAGTTGTCCGTCTGAAGTGAGGGTGACATGGTGTGAGGAAGGAATGAGAGCTTGTGGGCTGTCGTGGAGCGAGGTTCAAAAGTTTGCAGAGAACAGAGTGCACTGGAGACGTGCTACTGAAGCCCTATGTTTCATTAGGAACCCAAGGGACAAATAAAATAAAAATGATACAATATACTTGCTAGCTTACTTATGGAAAACGGGTATCTGTTGAAGCATATAAACCCTTGGAGAAGTCAGTTAGCACCGAAACCAATCTTATACCCAGTTCCTAAGCCAAAGGTCTATATCACTCTACCATGCACAAAGAGGAGTTGAATAGTGTAATTATAAGACAGTCTAACATCAACCACTATGCAGCCTAGCTTATTATTGTATAAAAAGGGAAACATGTGCTGCACTACGAACCGAAGCATTGCTTGGTTGGATATACATAGGTTGGAGTAATCGAGCTATACAATTCAAGCTGGGAGAAAATGTATCTAGAATGGCTTCGAAAACAGACCTAGTGTGAAAATTTGATAAACGCAGGTTAGACACTACTCCCTTCATCTGTAGCTATCGACGATATAGAAATGAGTCACAAAATTAGTGTTTAAAAAGCTTTCACGGTTGTATATGGGAACGGTTTGGGACGTTTATTGAGATATGCAAAAGCGATAACCAATTTGTTCTTAACATTTTTATCCGTTTATTAGCAATGTCACACGCAGTGAAGGAACAGTAACATTTACTGGATAATAACGTTTCGGACACAATTTATTTACTGTCCATATCAGGTAAGTAACTCCACAACTTCGAGACAGAGTTTATGTAGTCCACAGTTTCCATATATCTGAAACAGGTCCAGAATCTTTTCTATTACTGCATGTATTTGGTGTTGATTCGATAAACAAAGATTCAGTTATCAGTCTATCTGTCCACCCAACTAAGTTAGTTTTTAATACTGTCACCCTATCCCACCTTACTGTGTGATTGTGTGTCATAGCATGCAGAGCTATAGCCAAGCTTTCCTCTACATTTCTTATCTTATTAGGATCTACTAGTCTTGATTTAGTGTTGATGTTTTTGTGCTCTGTTATTCTAATCGACTACTTTGACCTGTGTATTTGACCTCACTATCATTGCAAAGGATTTGACAAACCAGACTATTTTCCTTAATTGCATCAATTGGATCTTTTAACCTACAAAGCTTGTTTCTAAGCGAGTTTGTTGGTTTAAATGACACTTTAATGGCAGCCAGCTTTTTTGGGAGTTCTTCGAAATGCTTCTGAGGTGTCCTCCATTGTGTGGTAACACAGCGGAGGCTTTGAATTCCCTCTCAAACCTATCGCCATTATTATCATTAGCAGTAAAATTATTATGAATAACACCTGTATTACTACCACTACTACTAGCAATACTTTCTTTTTGATTACTTATGAATTTATTTGTATATTTACATGGCTGATTATCGAGATGTAAAGCATTCTTGATGTGTCTAGTTTGCCGTAGAATTTCTAGCCTGGTAGTAAGCTTTTTTGCCCTATCACTTAGGCATTTAACGAAACCTACTTTAACCGAGATGAGGTAGGAGGATTTAAAGTCTAAGAAGTGATTCAAGTAGGAAGGCTTCCTATAAACACTAATCTCTAAACTCGCATCTTATTTTCATTTAATCTTACAATCCAACACTCCTAGCTCACCTTCATCACTTTCTACATCACAGGTAAATTGGATAGCAGTCACTAGTGTATTTATATGTGCCAAGAACCGATTGATGCGTTCCGATTTCATTGCTGTAAATGTGTTATCGACCTATCAGAGCCATACTTTTGGAGCAGGAATGAAAGTTTGGAGGGATAGTGGTAGTAATAATAGTGATGATAATGGTAACAATCGTTGTACTGGTAACAGTAATTATGATAGCAGGGTTGAGAGAGAATTCAAAGCCTCCGCTGTGTTACCACACAATGGAGGGCACCTCAGAAGCATTTCGAAGAACTCCCAAAAAAGCTGGCTGCCATTAAAGTGTCATTTAAACCAACAAACTCGCTTAGAAACAAGCTTTGTAGGTTAAAAGATCCAATTGATGCAATTAAGGAAAATAGTCTGGTTTGTCAAATCCTTTGCAATGATAGCGAGGTCAAATACACAGGTCAAAGTAGTCGATTAGAATAACAGAGCACAAAAACATCAACACTAAATCAAGACTAGTAGATCCTAATAAGATAAGAAATGTAGAGGAAAGCTTGGCTATAGCTCTGCATGCTATGACGCACAAACACACAGTAAGGTGGGATAGGGTGACAGTATTAAAAACTAACTTAGTTGGGTGGACAGATAGACTGATAACTGAATCTTTGTTTATCGAATCAACACCAAATACATGCAGTAATAGAAAAGATTCTGGACCTGTTTCAGATATATGGAAACTGTGGACTACATAAACTCTGTCTCGTAGTTGTGGAGTTACTTACCTGATGTGACTATGGACAAACGTTATTATCCAGTAAATGTTACTGTTCCTTCACTGTGTATGACATTTCTAATAAATAGACTGAAAGGGAATTGAAATCTACCGCAGTGCTTACGCTACTCACCTACCTAGGTAAACTGTTGTTTCTTATCAGGCTACGGATCACTTATGTCACTCTTTGTTTTTGTTCACACCTTTCTTAATTTTAATTCTCTACTATATTAACTGTTCAATTTCTACTCCAGTTTATTCTTCTGTTTAATATAGATTGACTTGACAATTACATGTGTGATCAGATTGTTGGAAATGTATTACCATAAATGCATCACTCGTTGTTAAGATAAACTTCATCTTCTAATTACACTATCTATATTCATAAAAAGGGACTAGTTGTTTCAAATTTAACTTTTTGTAAAGTTTTGAGAATAGTTGAAATTATCGGTTCCAAACTTTCGGCCGTTACATATTACTTCATTGGTAGTAGTGATTAAGTCCAAAAATTTCAGCCGAGAAAACTGAATGATCACCTCAGGTTTATTTAATGTTTATCAGCAAATTGGAATGTACTCAGCAACCATAAGTACTTTTCTTGACTAGACAATGAACCATACCTATCGCCGAAACCTCGGTAGGCGAAGCGACTTCCTAACTTGTAACCCAATGGTTGAAAGTTAGACCAATAAACCGCAGCATCATATTTACAACTACTTAATCCCACCAACTATAAATGTTATCAGTGATTATAAATTTAATGTCTACAGTTCAACAAACTGTGATGAGTGAGAAGAGGGGAAGGCGCTGTTTCACCGATTAAAAGACCACAGAAGAAGATGTGGATTTCGCCGATGATGATTTATGTCTAATATCACATAAACTAGAAGATCTACAGGCGAAAACTAACAAGTCACAGAAGAAGCACAGCAGCGAAAACGGAACCTTCTTCAGGTGGACGTAGAGAAGACAGGGGTGATGAAGATACCCAATCAATCATCAACTGGAGAAATCTAAAGCAAGTTATCTCTTTCACCTACCTAGGCAAGGCAACATAGTTTCAACTACAGGCGGTGGCGTCACACATGAGGATGTCAAAGCCAGAAACGATCGGAAAAACAGCAAGACAGGCGGCCTTCATTAATCCAAAATAATCAGTGTGGAGATCTGCTACACTGCTCTGCATTCAGCATAAAGCGTGAACAACATCCGTATTTTCAACACTAGTGTTAGTCAAGTAAGTCAGTGCTTCTATGTTATAGTAGAAAGACTTGGAGGCGCGTTACGGAAAGCATTTCCAACGAACTGTAGACATACATTACATGAATATTAAAGATTGATCAGATGCCCAGAATAATAAGAATGAGCAACAAGAAACTCTCACCTGGCAACGAACCAACCAACCTGTAACTTATTGCCGGACAAATATGCAGAGGAAGATAGTGGAGATGGATTGAATTTGGGAATACACTGGGAAGACGGTTTTGGGATATCACGTGTCATGCCAGGTCGTTGAGTGGAACGTGAATGGTAAACGACGAGTTGGGTGTCGGAGGCGAGTGTGACATGGAGTAGATGGTGTGAGGGAGAAATGAAAGTTTGTGGGTAGTCGTGTAGGTAGGTTGAGAGAGAAGACTGTGGATAAGGGAGTGAAATGGTGATGTGTTACTGAAGCTTTATGTTCCGGTACTAACCCAAGGGACATAATAATGTCTGCAGTTGAAGTTCTTCATCCTCCTAACTAAATCGGTGAAGTTAGCGTGTTATTGTTTCTGTATTAAGTTGTTGTTTGGTAGGCTAGTTATTCTGCATCGACTGACGTGACTTGCTCATGTATAGTGCGCATGCCGATCTCCCCATCTACCTCGATGATATATACATATATATATATATATATATATATATATATATATATATATATATATATATATGCTCTGACTGGTAATTGAACCTAGCAGTTTACAAGCCATACTAAGCTGACGCGTAAAGAATCTATTCTAATGACTAATCAGAACGTCAATTATAGGCAGCAATACCACTGACACATGAAGAGAAGAGAGCTTCTCGAGGTGTGACCTCAGAGCCCAAGGGACATCTATTTGACGCCGGTTACACATGACTTTTTTGAAAGTTTGACATTTTGGTTTGCTGCTTTCGAATCTGACTATGAATCCAGGTCATTGGTATCATCATACCACGAGGGTGTTCGTAGTGTGCTGTTTTGGGGTTCTACGTTTTCTGACCCTGCTTCCCATAAAGAAGGATCATTGTGATATGCAACCCAGACCACCATGTCAAGGTAGCAATTATCCGTCAGGATATTGATAATGATGATGAAGTAATATTACAGGCTCCCTCTCTCTCTCTCTCTCACACACACACACACACAATAGGTTGCTATATCAGATTCCTGTGCAGATATCTTCAACTTTCATTACGGCGGTACTATCCTTAGTTTGATGATGGCTGTTAATAAAGTCCACTCTGTCGACAGGCATTAGAATTCAGGCATAGCCAGTTACTCAATCCTAAGTGAAACGAAATGCATATCGTGGATTCTGCTGTTATCCACCACAAAATAAATGTGAATCCATCTCCGAACATTTGTCGTCTGAATATACCTTCAAATGATATTCACTTCTTTCTTCTTTAAGAAAGAAAACTTATTTTAGCGAGTTATATTTGTCATTTTACTTACAATTTTTAAGTTATACTTTTTCTTTCTTTTGCTAGAAACAGTTCAATATGGATTAGATGAGCCTATTTCAGATAAATCTGTCAATAAAAGTCTGTCTAGCGTTAAAGATGATGTTGGTAATATGCAGTATGAAGATACAAGAATGGAATCTCCAGTCAATAAAGCCGATCATACACCTACAGATGAGAAATCGAAACGTAAATCTCGAAAACGTTCAAAACCAAGTACTTAGTGATAAAGGAATGCTTAAGTTTGTAAATAAAATCATATTTACATGCTATTTACGGCTTGAATGTTCTTGTCTAACATACATACAGCTGTTGTTTTCATTCAACTTTCTCGTCATTGAAGTAAACCTACTTCATACACATCGGTCTAGTCAATCGAATAGAGTATTATTGACTGTTGCGCAACAAAAGTTGTTAAGAGGTCGTCTAGACGACTATCCTGGGTTTTTTAAAATTTATTTTGACGTAAATTCATGTAGACTGATATGGACAAAAGGCAAGAGGTTCAGTGGATTATGGGAATAATTAAGTGATGTATGTATTTTAATATTGAAGTGGTGATGATTGGAGTTGTGAAAAGTAGACCCAGAATACGAAGATTATATAGTCCTGTTTGGTGAAAACGCTGACAAGATGCTGAGTCTTCTGGACACTTTGAGGGACAATTTGAGAATGCTTGGAATGTCTTTCTTGCTAGCCAAGTGCAAATTGTTACTCCAGGATTGGTCTTCAACAGTGCCTCGGCTAACAATAGAGAGTGTAGTGGTTGAGTGTGTCGACCACTTCACTTACTTCGGAAGTAGGATCAGCCCCGGTGGCTCAGTTGCCGATGAAATCTCTGCACGGATACAAATGGCTCGATTAGCTTTTGCCAATTTACGCCACCTATGGCGCCGCCGTGATATCCGTTTGTCTACTAAGGGTCGCGTGTACTGCACAGCAGTCCGGTCTGTCCTACTGTATGGCTGTGAAACATGGCCATTGAAGGTGGAAGACATGAGAAGGCTTCAAGTGTTTGACCACCGTTGCCTTCGTAGTATAGGCTATGTTTTGTGGTGTCACCACATGAGTAACGCAGAAGTCACGTGTAGAGTCTTAAGGAGAAGAGGTAAGTCAGTTGACATGGTTGTGGACCTTCATCAACTGAGATGTTTGGCATGTGTTACATATGCCTAGTCGCCGTCTACCTCACCACAATGTTGACCGAAGTAGGTTCAGACTGGAAAAAGGCTCATGGCTCTCGACCAGACTAAAACGTGAGATCAATGTATGCAGTGTTTGACTGTTGGTTTAAGCCATGTGGGTCGATGCAGACTAGCCGTTTGAGGTCTGGGGGACAAGAGAAACAAACCAGTGGTTGGGGACTCTAGGTGATCATATGGTTGAGAACGGATGTCATTGGTGTAGATGTATACACACATTATCCTCATCTTAACGACGCTATACCGAATATCACCATTTTCTCATTCTACCTTTCTCTCATTTATTACTTTATATTTCTTTTGACTGAATTTTGTTTTCTTCATCTTCGACTTCACTGCCTTTTTACTTGATGTGGTGAAATGAGGTGTAGCAAGTTGGACTGTTACTCAGTAACGCCTGTTAACAGATGATGGTGTTGATGTTAGCACTCAAGTTCCCTCATATGATTACCAACCTTCGGTCTATGTGTCTCCTAAGTCTTCACGTTTCTCGGTTAACATTCCTACTTTATCTTTAATTTCTTCTAGCTTTGTAGCTCTTAATAGCAATGTGTTCACGGAACAGCATTCATATTCTTCTGAAACCGTTATCTAAACTACATATTGAAGTTTTCAATGTTCGCATATCCCGTCAAATCGATCAACAAGCTTTGCTAGCCAAAACTCTGGCATCTGAGGCCATTGATCTGTGCTCTGTTTGTAAAACGCTGTTACAGGACCTAATTGCAAGAATACTAGGAAATGCACTACACAAAATAACAATGTCGTGAAGACATAAACTTGATGGGGTGATATGAGGTGTAGCAAGTTGGACTGTTTGTTACTCAGTAATGCTCGGGTCCTATTTTCATGATGATAATGGTTGGATTATGGCACGATTCGAACTGAATAGCTTCAGGATCATTGACGTAATGGTCTTTGAACTGATCTACGTTACCCAGCTACTAACCGACATGGTACTGATTTCGCTACTTGCTGGTATTCATACATTATCTTAATCTTATTTTCTCGTTCCTCCGTAATATTTTCTGACGAGATTCTACTGCTTTTGATTACTTTCTTTCTTGTTTCTTTATCTCTCATCTTAATGAATTCTCCTTCTGGATACCTTGAGTGGCAATTTGAGTGTTGGTTTTGAGTTTCTTGCCACTTGAATACACATTATTAATGCAGGACTGGTCTTCAGCATTCCCCTGGGTAACAATAGATAGTAAAGTGGTTGAGTGCGTTGACCACTTCACTTACCTAGGAAGTTGACAAAATATCTGCACGGATGGAGCTGCCTTGATATCCATTTGTCTATTAAGAGTCAAGTGTACTGCATGGCAGTTCGCTCTGTTCTAGTGTGTGTTTGAAGCATGACCATTAAATGTAGAGGACATGAAGAGGCTTTTGGTGTTTGACTATCATTACCTTCTTAGGGTCAACTATGTGTCAAGTGGTACCACATCAGTAACGCAAAAGTCAGGTGTGGAATTTTAGAGAGGAAAGGAAAGTCGAATGATTAGGCTATAATACTTCATCGACTAAGATGGTTAGGATATGCGTTATGCATGCCTTGTCAATCAATGTAGCAAGTTCAGGTCGGGAAAAGACGCAAGGCGATCAAACTAAAATATGACGTTACTTCATGAAGTCTTTGACTGTTGATCTGAGCCATATACGGAGATATGAACTTGCTGATTGGGGTCCACACGATAACAGAAACTAGGTGGTGTGACTCAAAATCGATGTGTGTGACGCATTTTATCTTCATCTTAATTGCTGCTACTTAATTTAACATCCTCTGATTCCTCCATCCTATCCGATTCATCATCTTTCATTTTATGAAATGTGGCATCTTGAATCCGTTATGCAGTAATGCCTGTGGTTCCATGTTGATATTGTCTTTCTCTACCTATCTTATTGGTGGCGTTCTTTCTAAATCGTAAATTCAGTAGCCATGTATACAAAATGAGTTAACTGGATTCAAGTTGGATCGAGGAGATTACCGCGGCAAAATAGATTCTCTTCTGAATGATGAAACTAGATTCCGAAAGCCCAGTGATTTTATGAATATAAACGTGAAACTGGTAAAGAGACTTATACTGTCTTAACGAATAGAAACAAAGGAGTGGTTTCAGCAACTACTTATGACTCACTGAAGTGTAGCAGTGGGTAGGGGGAGACATCGTCATCTGACAGTGTGCTTAAACTGCACAAATCGGGACTTCTACTTCAGCTTCAGATATATATGATTCACTGTGAATAGCTTTCGAACACTTGAGCATAGGATAAGATAACTCTTCTTTGGTATCTTACAAGTGTATGATCTGTTTCACCCTACTGTATAACTAAAATCTAGTGAGTTTTTGTGTTGTAGGATGTGATAACCATATATTTGGCATATTCGATGATTTCCCATTATCCAGGAGTAATTGTTTATTGAAGTACGAAACTTTGAAAACCGCCTGTCATGTGTATACAAAAGTAATTGTATGCTGTAAAAACTTCACTTGTGTTGAGCAGGACTTCTCACTGAAATTTTCCTTTTCAGCTACTCATCTTTGACCAATTTTTTAATAGCACAATCAAAGCTTCTTAAGAAATAAAAAAACTGTATGTAGAATAGGAACATTCATTCATCTCTTTTCGCTGTTCTAACTCAGTAGTGACACTACGTGAATAAGCACTTCACAAATTGTAGATACATTGCACGGTCTACGGTGATATTTTTAATTGTTGCGCAGTTTTACAACTGTTCATCTGTACTTTCAATAGAGTTTTTGTTGTTAACCATTCAATTCAGGTGAAGAAGTATAATCTCTGAGGAAATAGTGTTGCAAACTACCGAAATATACTACTGAACAGACAAAATAAGTAGTTAGAAATCATTCACAATGATTTAAAGCAATTGATTTGAAGAGTACATGTTGTATTCGTCAAAGTACACAAGTGATGAGATCGGTCTCAAGTGAACGAAACTGCACTCTGATTTGCATAATGAAATATACTGATAACTTTGAGTTGTTTTTATTACTCATTAACTTTGCTATCGTTAGCGTTTTTAGAACAACTCTAAAGGATGTGCATTGTAATGTAGATTTGTTACCAGTAGAAAGACATCTCAAACTTGAATAGACGGTGAAAATGGTATTTCTCTCCATGCCACATTACATATGCTGATCAGATCTCATTTCAATAGTTGACGATGAGTGTCTGTAAGTTTGTTCAGTCAGCCACATCATCAAAATGATACATCTTTCAGAAAAATATACAGTAGTCTGTAATTGTGCTCACCCTTCAAGGTGAACCGCGAAATTGGTCGAAAGTAATTTTTAAGTGTTAGTAAGAAAGTAGCTAGTAAGGTTCACCCAAATCTTGCTGCAATTTTATAGTTAGCGTTACCAAAAAAGAGTAGGTGTGCAACGCTTTGATGTGAAAATTTCCACTCCTGCTTGCTCCAGTTGAGGATGTTTGGTCACAAAAACTTATATCCACTGACAACACCATGTATTTAATAATTAGTTACGATTACCCGTCTTTGGATATCGTAATTTACCAGGCGAAATCATCTTAAAACACCAACTTCGATAGCTTATTGTTTTAATGACGTCTCAATTACTTCGACAATAATCATATTCTGATAGCTTCGGAAAGATTGAAGATATGGTCACTTCATGCATGACCTGGTCCAATGAGATGGGGGTTTTACTTCATTAGTGTACCAAGGCTTTCTAAACTTAGTTCTAGAGATCATGCAACTTACTGAAATGTAATGGATATTATTACTATTTATTGAATCGAATTGTTTGACTTCTATTGGCATATGGGCTCCTTTGCGGATACCTCGATATTGACTGAATGTCAATTACGGTAATTTGGCTGACCGTAGCTAGTAGAGGAGTCCTGGATGCGTGTTTCGACCTATTTGGGACTCGTCAGCCGGATATACAACATCACTCACTGGGGTACAGGTACATCCAGCTGACTAGTCCTAATTAGGACAAAATGGGCATACTGGATTCCTTTGCTAGCCACAACTAACTAAATTACCGTAATAGATATCGTTCGTAATCATGCTGTTGGTTCATTTTGTTGGTCGGTTTTACGATAACCCTACTGAGTACAATGTCTAACTTCGTAGGGGGAAGTAGGTGAGTATAAGTAT